TCCAATGAGCTATTTTCATAACAATTTAATGCGGTTGTTTGGTTGTAATCGATATAGAGATATAGTATGTTAAACCAATCAATTAGGGTTAATTTCACTCGAGAGAGGTAATTAGTTAAAATTGGAAAATCGGGTCTAACATCGTAAATGAGTAATTCGTTAATTGGCATGTGGAGAAACTAATTAGGCGACGGTTAAGCAAAACCATGAATCCTAACCACGTTTTCCTCCAAAATTCCCAAGAGTTCCATATTTTCTTAGTTCGTAGTTTTTTCATTAGTTTCTAAAATCAACTCTTTATTGTGTATTTGTTTATTTTCATTGTTAGAATTAAATTGATTAAAATTGTGTAATTTAAAGTAAACATTCTTTGAGGGATCGACAATTCGGACTTAAAATGTCCACTTTATTACTTGAACGCAACTCGTACACTTGCGGTAGTATTTTAGCGAACAAGTTTTTGACGCCGTTGCCGGGGAATGTTTTATTTCAATTATCATTTTTTGTTGATTCTAATTTTTACAAGTTTCGTTCTTTTTTCTTTTGTATAGCTTTTATATATTTATTGTGTAATTTAACTTTTAATTTTTACAAGTTCCGTTGTGCCAGTCCTAATGTTGAGATGCTTCAACATAAGATTGAGGTTCGTAGATGGTGGAAAGATCAAGTGCATAATTTCTTTGAGAGGTGGACAACATGGTGTAGCTCAGGTAATCTAAAATGGGATACTGCTTTGCAGACGCAAGACCATTTTCCAAAGAATCAGATTGGGGATAAGGCCTCTAAGACACCAAACTGCAATGATAATCATGAAGATAGGAAAGAGGTCGCCTAGATCTGTTAGATTTGCAAAGAGCACGGATAAGTGGCGAAGGGGACATTACATGAGAATGAGAGTCGGAGTGAATATTTGGACTGGATGAAAATTCTGATGAAGGAGTAGCTAAGTTGGGAGAAATAATTTTTGGGGAATGTTCAAAGGAAGAAATATCAAGAATAAGCATGAAAGATGAGATCTCATCTTGAAGCAAAGATTGTGGTTGAAAGAGAAACTAATCAGCCTGAGCCTGAGATGAATGAGTAGAATTTGATAATGACTTAAGAAGATTAGGATGATGAAATGAGAATATATTCTCATGGAATACAACATTTCTTGAAACAAGAATGGAGTGAGATTGAAGATCGTACAATTTATAAGCTTTCATGCCATGGGGATACCCGAAAAATATACATGCTTGGCTCTTGGGTCAAATGTTGTCCAGTTTCTTTTTAGGGTGGATATATAACAAAGACATCCAAATACTCTCAGAAGAGTATAAGATGGTTATTCCTGGTATGACATTTCAAAAGGAGATTTATTTCCAAAGGTGATGGTAGGAGTTCGATTTATGAGATGTGTAGCTGTTAATATGCAATCCCCCCAGAATTGATGAGGAAGATTGGCCTGAAATTTTATAGCTCGGGCTACATTAAGGATGTGTTGGTGCTTGTGTTCAACAACCCCGTTTTGCTGGGGTGTCTCAACACAGTTTACCTGATGCAAGATTCCTTTGGAGTGATACAAAACATCCATGTGAAATTCCAACCCATTGTCAGATCTTAAGGTTTTTAGATTGCATTGGAAGTGTGTTTGAATCAGGTTGTAAAATGATTGAATGATGGGCCTAGTTTGAGATTTATCCCTCATGAGATATGTTCAAGTCATACGACTATAATCGTTAATAATGGTTAGCAAATATTTTGAACCATCTAATGCAAGGACATAGTGTGGCCCCTAGATATCACAATGAATGAGATCGAATATTTTTGAACTTTTGGTTTCACTGCTAGGAAAAGATAACTTGTGTTGTTTGGCCATAGGACAAATGGTATAATGCAAGTGTTGATCAAATGTAATTGTAGGCACAATTTTATGTAACAATGACAGTTTAGAAGGGGGAATATGTCCCAATCGACAATGCCATATATCTATGTCAATGTGAACACTAGATTTGCTTATAGAATTACAAATGGCAGAATTTGAATTATTACAATCCAAACATAAACTAGGAACATGAATTTTACTTGAAGGAATTACATTGTTATGAAAGATAGACTTTGTTTGGGGAATAACAGAAGATTGCCCATTGAGCCGGTGATCAGAAGGTTGGAAATGGTATAAACCACCTTCAAGCTTGCTTACCCCAATCGTCCTCCATGTCAAAAGATCCTGAATAAAGCAGAACTGATGTAAGAAAAATAGCAAACATTTATGCTTGAGAACAAGATTACTGGCAGAAATTTGATTGAACTTGAAACATGGCACCACTAAAACATTGTCAAGGTTAATGTACGATCCCAATATGTGTGACTTGTGCAGTATCACCATTAGGTAACTTTACTGAAGCCTTAATGTAGTTGGTTATAGTGGTCAACTGGCTAATAGAACAAACCATGTGTTCTGAGGCCCCCATGTCTATGATCCACTTACTTGGAATTGTAGGGCATACACAATTACTTGAAAATGCAAAGGCATCAGGTACTTGGGTGGATGAATACACAATCTCCTAAGTTTGTTTATTTCCAGTGGTAAGTTGTTCTTGCAGCTGTGGAGCAAGCATAGCTATAATCTGCTGGCATTGACGTGGCGTGATAGTGATGTTGGACAAAGAATTAATCACCTCCAAACTGTTAGCCTATGAGTCTTGAGCTGAGCTATAGCATTAGCAACTGAGGTTTTCCCTTTAGCAAGTTTATGTCCAGGTGGATATCCAATCAATTTGTAACATTTCCTTCTGAGATGGCCTAGCATTCCGCAATAGCTACATATAGGCCTATCCTTTCTCTGTGTTTGATTAGATACGTTATATCTCTGATTGCTATATGAACTCAAGACTGCCTTGCTAGCAAGAGTTGCTACTTCAAAATTATGTTGCCTTTTTGCCACAACTCCTTTTTGTCTTTCATCTTGCAATATTAAGGCAAAGACCTTGTTCAATGAGGGCAATGGATCCATTAGTAAAATCTAGCTTCTCGCATTGGAAAATTGATCATCTAAACCCATTAAAAATTACATAACTTGATCTTCAGATTTATAATCAGCAATATTTAAATCTAGTCAATAATTGTCTAATTCCTCCCATAGACCTTTAAATCGATTAAAGTAGGAATTGACAGAATTATTGTCTTTAGAAATTGATGTAATTAGCTTGTTTATTTCATAGATCCGAGTTCTATTACCTTGACTGTATTGATCCCTAAGCTCGATCCAGATCTGTCGTGTAGAATCTTTATGCATCACGCTTGGATAAAGTTCCTTTGGAATAGAATTAATAATCCAAGAAGAAACTATGTGATTGCATCGCCTCCAAGCTCCATAAAGTAGATCATTCACGACAGGTTTAACAATCGATCCATCAATGAATCATTCCTTGTTTTTGACACTACGAGCCATGGTAATTGCACGACTCCATGTGGTGTAATTGTCTTCAGATAGCATAAAAGATATGAGCTGCATCCCTGTATTATCACCATAGTGGAGGTATAAGGATTGTTAGGATCGCTTATCAACCGATTAGCAAGAGAGACAGCATCTCCAGCAACCACGTCTCTCGTAGAAGACTTAACCGATATATCAGTGTGATCTGATTGATTTTGAACCTCTACTTTATCGTTAGACTCTCTCGCCATTGTCGAAAAACTTCAATGCTCTGATACCATGAAGAATTGGCAACAAGAGAGTTGATAGAGAAGAGATGAGAATGGCGGGAAAAAAAATCTTTCATTCAGATCAAAGTAAATGGCGTGATACAGGTGAGTATTTATATACAACTCAGCTAACCAACCTAACAGAATTAACAAGGAATGAAATGTACAAAGACTTAAATAACCCTATACAAATTTGGCTCAATACTTTTAGTTAAATAAATATAAGTCAATAATTTTCGATATCATTTGATTTGGCTCAAATAAAAATGTTTATTGGGACATGTGAATCCCCATGATTTTGTAGCATTTCTGTTCATCCCTAACTTGAAGGTTTGAATCTAATGGAAAGGTGATAAGCATAGATTTTGATGCTATGAATATATTTCTTTCAATTCTGCTATGTGTACAAATTTTTGTTCACAGAAAATTTCCAAATGAACTGGCAGTAATAAAAAAATAAAAAAAATAGAAAAGTCAGAGACCAATTGTCCCATATGGAAACCCCGTCTTTCACCAAAACTCATTCTCCCACCCCACAAAATACTCCCTGCTGAACAGAGAAAGAAACCCATGAAGATTTCACCGCCGACTATGCTTTTCGTCTCCCGCAATTTCGTTCTATTAAACCACGAATAAGCCCAAGCTTTTCAACTCAACTATTACCCTTGCATAAACCCTTATCTCCTACCCATTTTGCGGCCGCGGTAGTAAATCTCTCCGGCTACCGTCATTCAACCGTTCCAGCAAAAGGCCTACGTCTTCAAACCTTATCTCTTACCCATTTTGCGAGTGAAGATTGTTATTTTTATCACATCCTCTGCACATTTGTTTATCGATATGTGTTTTGGGTTTTTTTATAATCGTAATGTTCTTCGGAGAAATTAGAAATACAGAGATATATAGTTACCCAATAAATTCATTAATTTTAAGGAATAAGAAAAAACACCATCTTGGAGACGTTGAGAGAAAAAAACATGTGAAAACTGGGTAATAAAGTGCAGTTTAATTACACACACAAATCATTACAGCAAATTGTAAATTAGTATGAAGTCCAGTGTATTCACTATATGTAATTAAGCTGGATTGTAATTACACACAATTCAGATTTCAAAAATCATATATAGGAGTGGGCAAAAACCCGCCCAACTCGATTAAATCGCCCGACCCAACCCAAACCGATCGGGTTGGGTTAATTTTATTTATTTATTTATTTATTTATTTATTTATTTATTTGGTCCATGGGTTACCTAATCGGGTCGGGTTGTGGGTTGACAAGGGAAACCGCCCAACCTGACCCACCAACATTTAAAGAAAAAAGAAAGAAAGAAAGAAATAGTGAAACACCACTTAAAAGCCCTAAATGAGTAAGTTTCTCACTCACTACAAAAATCCCTAAATTCTCTCGTTCCCTCTCTCTTGCTCCCACTCAAATCGTCGACAACAACACCCTTTTTTCCGACTGCCCCAAGCCGGTCACTCGACGTCCAACTCTTGGAAATCCACAAGATGGGTATATTATTTCACTCTTCATTTTTCAGGTTTTGTAAGTCACAATTTGATGAATTTTTTCCCATCTTTTGAACCCTTTCAAGAGTACTATGATTCAGTGGTGAAATCTTCTTATTTGGCTTTGTTTGGTGAAAATGTATTCTCGGTTTTTGGGTTCAAGGCTATGCTAGGGACTCGCAAACAAAGGAAGTCGAGTAAGGGCTTAAGGTTGCTTCTTCTGGTAATGTGAGTCATGTATTTCTTAGTTTTTTTTTTATTTTTAATATTCACTTAATTATATATTTTGATCTTTGTTGTTGCATTTGAAAGATAATATTGGGTTTGTTCATCTTCAATGGCTCGTTTATCTGAGATGGATTATGAATTTAATCATGGATTAGTAATATATTTCTTATTTAGCCCCTGTTTTAATTCCTTATTTAGCCCATGATCAATCCATGTTGGTAATCTTATTTCTACCAGTTTGATTTTGATTAATGGAAAGACAAATCAAATTCCATTAAATGCTGTTATTTGTGATTTGTGATTCTGTTGCTTGTTCTTTTATGGATAATTAGTGTAGTGTCCTATTTATTGTTGAAAGATTGAGTGAGATTGATGAGGCTTTGGTTTTGATTAATTGGTACTATACCTTACCGTAAAAAATGGACAAGTTCTTGCCAATCCTTAAATGGACAAGTTAAAGCTTTCTTATTTACTTACGAATGCACTTGTTTAAGCTTTATTGATAAGTTGTCCCAAACCAATCAACCCAACCCAACCCGACCGATACTTGATTGGGTTGGGTTGGGTTGGGTTTCAACCTTGACACGGGTTGGGTTGGGTTAAATTTCGACCAAACCAATCAAGTTGGGTTGGGGAAAAAACCGACCCGACCCGACCCGACCCAACCCAACCCACGCAAACGCCTAATCATATCCGATTTGGATAATACATTCCAATTGCCACAATTCATGTTTCATTGAATTCAACCTTGGAGGAACAACTATAAAAAGTACACTATCATCTTGAAGAAGCATCAAATATTCACTTGTGCCAACAAGCAACATTTACACAGCATGGAATCCGAATCACAACCTTCTAGCAAAAGATATTGACACTGTGCATTTTCAACGAAGTTCTAAAAAAACGAGTTCTATCTGAAACACAATGACAACCACCTGAGTTTGGTTCCACTGTGTTTTTTGGTGTGGGGGAAATGAAGATTTGGCCATTGTCGGAGCTGGGCATCACAATCTTCACGGTTGGGGAGTCGGGGCTTCGATTTGGGAGAACGACTTGCGAAGAGCAGTTGTGCATCGAGGGATTTCGCCTTAACCGGATTTCAATTTCACTACCACAATGCGAGTGAAATCGACGGGGAAAATAAGGTGGGACTTTTGCTTTATATCTTCTACATCTCTGCCTTGCTTTGTTTTCATTTGGGATATAAAGCTAATTCAAAGTCAAACAACTCTACTGCTGACTTGCTGCTCCACGCCTTTGTCACGTGAATAGGACATGATTTCTAAAAAATTCAAATTTCTGTGGATTTCTTGTCAACTAGTTATGAACAAGAGGCAAAAGTGTATTTTTTTACGGAGGTGTATCCAAGCCCTTTACCTTTTCTTTAGTTGTCATTACTATGCCTATTGTTCAACCTTCATACACAAGTATCAACTTCGTGACCCTTTAGCTCCTCTTTAGTTATGTTAGAAATTAAAATTCTAATAAATTTTGATAAAATAAATAAAAATTGTAGATATCATAAAATGTAGAGTTAATTAATGATTAAATTTTAGAAATATTTTTAACTAGATCAAACATGAGCCTATATAACACTTAGCCTTGTCCATTCGAATTGGGTAAAGCACTTGGTCAACTAATTGATGCTATAACATCATCATGCGCACCAAACGACGTAGCTCTAACATGCAGTAAGTTTGTGAGCTCGGATGGAGGAACTGGGGATCAAAGTGGAATATTTGCGATCTTCCATGCTTCTGTGTTTTGCACCATTCTTATAAAATAAAGTAATTTTCTTGGAAAACTTTATTCTACCTTTTTTAATTGTGAAATGCTGCGTCAAAATTTGTTTTCAATTTTAGCTTCATGCTGTTCTACAGGTGTAATTTCTTCAATTTTGAGTATTTCACTTTGAAGTTGCAATTAGTCGATGGGTTAAGTTTATAACTCTTGTGCATGTGGTTTTGAAGTATTTTTATTAGGAAATTATGTGGTTAGAACTTAATTTTGTTATGGATAATTATTTGATGGAAATTTTTGCGTATTTTGGATGCAGGTTTTGAGATTCCAAAGTTTGAATATTTATTAAACAGTTATCATTTATCAAATTCATCAGTTGAGTTTACCTGGAATGAACGTATGATTATTGTATCATCAATGATGATCTTTTTAATAATTTCTAGCTCATTTAAAAAATTTATTTTTCTACACTTCTTGGAAATTTGTTCATATGTTATTTTCTCCATGAATTTGAAGTAAAGTTAAAATCTTTATATGTCATGGAACTGCAAATGTATATATCAATGTTTAATAGTTTGATTTATTGGTGACCATATAACATTTTATATTAAGCAACGTTTGTGAAGAATTATAGCTCGTATATAAGTTAAAAGAGATATTGCCAAAATAAAATTAAAAGGAAAAAAAAAAAAAAAAAACCCACTAAATCCATGGAAAAACATTTTTTTTTAAAAGGTGGAAAATGTTGCAAAAATGGGTTGCACCTAGAAAATCAATTCTAGGGAAAATTTGGCCAATCAAACAAGAAAAAAAATAATAATAAAAAAATCATTTCCATGCAAAATAGAGGGCATCAACCATGATGTTAGTTGATAGAATTCATGATCGACAGACCCTGAGTTGTGCATGAAATGTGACGTTTTACATAACAAATTCTGTTGGAATTTGTAAGGTTGAAATCATTAGCTCCTTTCACTTCAACATACACTTATTTTATTTTATTTATTTATTATTATTTTTTTTTCATAGACATATTTTACCAACCAAAACGGATACTTAAACTTGTTTTGTGCGTCTTTCCGTTAATTAAATACTAAATCGATAGAAGATAAAGTTGTCGGTCATAAAAAAAGGGCCAAAAACAGTAAACCTCATAAATTAGGAGAGCAAAGCCTATTTTTTATTGCTTCTCCCAATCATAACTAGCTGATGCCTGTACGTAGAAACAGCGAAATATATTTTACCACACGTCGGTTAGAAAGTGATAGCTATACTTACTTATTTTATTTTAATTAATTTTTGGTTTGTTTATATTATTTATTTTTATTTTTTCATTATGACTAGAAGTAGAATCGTTTGACATGATTTTGAAAAGTCAAAAGGATATTTGAAATTCAAAAGTTGCTTTTGAATCTATTTGTCTAATTTTATTAAAGTGTTTTTGGTAGTTATAATATCTTTTAGAGAAAATTGGTTTGATATGACTTTTTTAAAAAACACTTTCGAAATGGAAAGTGTTTTTAAATATTATTTTTTAAACAAAAATTAAGGTAGTTTTTTCTAACAACTGTTCTACAAGATACAAAAATAAAAGTAAAAACTATTTCAAATGGCCCTTAATTATCATTCAGTAATAAGAAGATGGACTGA